TAATGAGAAAAAAAAAACTCCGACAGTTTTTTTTAATTAACCCTTAAACGGTCCATACGTATATATACGTTCATGCGCGTAGCGCCCCAAACGTATATATACGTTTTCTTTGTCATTCATTCACCATTGCCACAATAAGCCTGAGTCACCTAGACATGAGAGAATGGGTGTGCACACTCACTGTGTGCCATATTAAAATAATTGGGGATGCCTGGGAACCATATGCTCTCTTTTTCCTTTTAAAAGAAAGGATTTTTTTTTCCCTCAAAAAATTTGGGGCGCTACGCGAGTGAACGTATATATACGTTTGGACCGTTTAAGGGTTAAAATGCCGACTTTGTGGTATATTTTCGTATAGTATTTATGGATGTATTCTCGTTTTCTTGGTCTCATTTGATAGAATGGAAAACATATTACAGAAATAGAGGTGATTTTGATTGGTTTTACTATGAAAAGAATCTTGAAATGGAGCTCAAATTAGGGGAAATGTTTGATTTTTGCCGATGTTCAAAAGTAAACAATGATGTAATTTCCCAATAAATGTCCAAGTAGCCATTCTAATATGCAGTCATGAATGGGTTGACATTATTTATACAATTATTACAATATTGCAGTAATCTGCATAACAGTAAATCTTCTATTTTTTGTTTGAATAAAAATTCAAAATAGAAATAACAAAAAAGGCACAATACCGTGACTGGAACGATACACAAATAACCCGCACATAGAAAAGAGGAGCTTACGACGACGTTTCAATCTGACTTGGACCATTTACAAAGTCACGCTAACCAGAAGTGGAGCAGCGGTGGCGGCGGCGGCAGCAGCAGCAGCAGTAGTAGTAGTAGTAGTGTAAGTGGTGGTAGTGGGGAATTAAGGAGGGAGCCAGTCAAATACAAAGAAAGGGGAACACTGCAAGGGAGCTAGGTGCCCACAGAGGGAGAGCAAGTGCAGAGGTGGGGGGAAGGGGAAGTGATGAAATAAATAATGAAGGAACAGAAACACAAGACAGAAGAAAGAAAGACAACCCAGAGGAGAAAAAGAACGAAAGAGGAAAGGAAGAAGAAAAAGAAAAAGAAAAAATGAGGAATCAGGTTAAGTCACGGGTGTTCTGAAGTTTGGAGCATTTTACAATGTAGTGGGAGAGAAAGGCATCTACATAGACGAAGCCAGGACTAAGATTCATACAAGGAAAGTTGTGTATTAGAGAGGATTCAACTAGATGGCGACTGTTAAGAGTTGGAAGTAGGGAAGACAGCTTTAGCGGAAGACCAATCAATAGGATGGCTGTGATCTCTGACGTGACAGAACAGAGCATTGTTAGTATCGGCAAGCCTAACACTATTTTTGTGCTCCCTAAGTCCTGTCAGAAAGAGATCGATCAGTTTCTCCAAAGTATTGAAGAGGACAGGAGGAGCAAGAAATAGAGTAAACACCAAGAACATCTGTAGAGGGAGGAGAGGTATGAACGAGATCAGTGCGAAGAGTGTTAGTCTGGCGGAAAGTAAGCTTGATGTCTAAGGGACGGAAAGAACTGTCGAGATTAGAAAGACCGGAAATGTAGGGAAGGCAGAGGGCAGAAGAGTTCCCAGGATTGGAGAGTTTGGGAGAGAAGAAATTACGTTTAACACGTGAGAGGGCAGAGTCTATGAAATGGGAAGGGTAGCCAAGACGGGAAAACGAATTATCAAGAGTGGAAATTTCTGCTGGAAGGTCCAAGTCGGATCGAAACGTCGTCATAAGCTCCTCTTTTCTATGTGCGGGTTATTTGTGTATCAGTACAGTGCCTGCACTCTGAAGGAGGGGTGGTAATGTTGCAGTTTGAAAACTGTAGTGCAAAGCACCCTTCTGGCAAGACAGTGATGGAGTGAATGATGGTGAAAGTTTTTCTTTTTCAGGCCACCCTGCCTTGGTGGGAATCGGCCAGTGTGATAATAAAAAAAATAATAAAAAAAAATAGAAAGCAAGAGTAATATCAGAGGGGCCTGGAGATGTGACTGATGAACAAAGAAAATGTTATTTTAGAGCCTGGAATGTCTGCATTGTTCATTCTGGACCCTATTTTGAAATTGTCATCTTTAATTTTTGTGAAATTGACCAAATTGCAAATTTCTGACCATGTTATTGGGTAGTTGAAATCGGTAAATGGGCAGTTTCTTGTACTCAATCAATAGAAAAAATGGAGTTCTAAAGAAACAGCTATGAGTTTGGTCGACTGGAACAAAGGAATTAGCCAAAAATAGGGCTCAAAGTAGGCAAAATCGCTGATTCGTAAATATTGCCGAGGTCGCATAATTCCGTCAGTTTTCCATCAAATTTCATTCTTTTGGTGACATTACAATCGGGAAAATATTCTCTATCAGTTCATATGAATTTTTTTTTTTTTTTAATTTTGCGACACCAGGAGATGCCTCAGGATTTGGGGATGCGACAGTCAAGGGGTTAAAACAGCGACTTTGCAGTGTGTTTTCGTATGCTATTTATGGTTGTATTCTAGATTTCCTGGTCTCATTTTATAGAATGGAAGACATATTACAGAAACTGAGATGATTTTGATTGATTTCACAAAGAAAAGTACCTTGAAACTGAGCAAAAAGTAGCAGAAATGTTCGATTTTTGCCAAAGTTCAAAACTAAACAAATCATACCACATGTCCAATACACATCAACTGGCGAGTCTAATATTCTTTCACAAGTGCGCTGATATTATTTATACCATTTCTACACTAATGCAGCGGTCTGCATAACAGTAAATCCTCTATTTTTTGAGAGAGAATAAAAATTAAAAGTGGAAAGCAAAACAAATGTGAGAGGCCTGGGGACTTGACTAATGAACAGAAATAATGTTATTTTAGTGCCAAGAATGTCTGTCTTGTTTATTCTGGACCCTATTTGGAAATTGGCATCTTCTGAAATTTGTGTGAAATTGGCAAAATTACCAATTTCTGATCACTTCATTGGATAGTTGAAATCGGTAAATGGGTGGTTTCTTGAACTCATTTGATGTACCAGTCGACAATGATTTTTATCAACTGGTACATTGGAACTGGCTGAAAATAGGGCCCAAAGTGGGAGAAATCGCCGATGTGTAAACATCATCAAGACCGCTAACTTCGCGAGAGCATAATTCCGTAAGTTTTCCATCAAATTTCACACTTTTGGTGTCATTATGACGGAGAAAAGTTTCTCTATCATTTCATAAGATTTTTTTTTTTTCCCCAAAAAAAAATTTCCAACCCTGAGAACAAGTTTAGGAGAGGGCCTGCCAACCCTGAAAGGGTTAAAATATTTAAGTGTAATTTAGAGAAAAGGTCAATATCCTCAGAAAATGATTGGCTGCTAAGCCAAGTGGCGTTAGCCACTCCAGTGGCTAACGCGACGGTCTGGAGTTTTGAGACTCTCTGACCGCGGGTTCAAATCCCGCCCGTGGTATGGTTTGTTTGCAATCGTGTCATTACGATTTCGTGAGTCGTGTGAATAAAGTTTACAGCAAGAGCAAAGATGACCATTATCTTGCTATATAGTTACAAACAAGTGCTAAGCCAGCAGTATTCATACAGCACCAAATACACCTACCATCCGACTTACGACCGAGTTCGGTTCCGAGAAACCGGTCGTAAGTCGAAATGGACGTAAGTCGAAATGGATGCAAGTCGAACTTTACTACTGAATATCAACATCACATTTTTGTAATGACTTTATTTTATTGTTTTATTTTGGTATTTCATGATTTACTTTACTTTTTATGCTGTTAGTACTGTATTTTATAATGTAAGGTTTAGGATAAACACTGTGTACAACACAAATAGTTGTTTATTTCCCAGAAATTTGGCAAAAAAAAAAAAAAAAAAAAAAAAAAAAAAAAAAAAAAAAAAAAACGGTCGTAAGTCGAGGGGTCGTAAGTCGGATGGTGGGTGTATTCTTTTTTTTATTATTATTATTAACACATTGGCCATTTCCTATCATGGCAGGGTGGGGCCAAAAAAGAACTAACACCCCTCCTTCAGAGTGCAAACACTGTACTTCCCATCTTCAGGGCTCAAGTCCAGCCTGCCAGTTTCCCTGAATCCCTTCATAAATGTTACCTTGCTCACACTCCAACAGCAAGTCAAGTCCTAAAAACCATTTGCCTCCATTCCCTCCTAACATGCTCATGCATGCTTGCTGAAGTCCAAGCCCCTTGCACACAAAACCTCCTTTACCCCCTCCCTCTAACTTTTCCTAGGCTGACCCCTACCCTGCCTTCCCTCCACTATAGATTTATACACTCTCGAAGCCATTCTATTTCGCTCCATCTTCTCTACATGTCTGAACCACCTCAATAGCCCCTACTCAGCCCTCTGTATAACAGTTTTGGTAATCCCGCACCTCCTCCTAATCTCAAATAGTCTTGCTAACACAAAAATGCTGTGGGCACAATAAGAGAACAATACATCAACATCCATGGTCCTACACTAACATTCTACCACAAGATGTCTGAAACACTGCTGGAAACTACAGGTGCCTCTGCCTAGTGTTGGGTCATCCAGGCTGTGATGGATGTCTGGGCCAACAGGCCACCAACAATAGCCTGATTGACCAAGCAAGCACCAGACTACCCTCGCCCAGGGGTCAAACTGCAGTAGAACGGAAACTAAAAGCATCAAAGGTGCTAGTATCAAAATATATATATCTATAGATCTATATATACATAAAAAAAAAAGCCTGATAGCTCATGCATTCAAGAGTTTGAATAGTTTTAGCATTATTACAAGAGCACATAAAAGATGGCTTAAAAATTAGAAGTTAAAGCCATATAAATAAAAATACTATAGTATAGGTATACAGTAACAATAAGTATTGTACACAGTGTATAGGTATACCTTTGATATACCTTTGAAGAGTTTCGAGAGTTTAACTACTCTCGGAGCCCGGCCATGGGTCAGGTACAGAGTACCTACATGCTGTTCAAGTAATGATGAGTATGGCCACTATGTACAGTATAGTAGTGTGTATTCTACTTACTTGGTATGCTTGGTCCTCCTCTTTGGGTTCAACTGAGTGGCATAGTACGCAGGAAGCTTCTTAACACGAACCATGCGAGTCCCTCCATTCTTCTCACCACCAATAGGTTTCTCAATGAAGATTTTTTGCTTCTCACCAACCTTCAAATATATAATTATGTATAATTTTTCTTCCCCGGGCATAAATTTTTCTATTAAAAAAAAAAAAAAAGTCTAAAGTAGTTTTTCTTTTCCCTACAGCATACAATCCATTACATGAATGAGTATTATTGTTACATTATTATTATTATACTATGTTGCTATTATGTTCATAGGGAAACACTTAATCAACAGGGCTCATACAGTGCATGGGGGAAATGGAAGCACTCTGGTTCAATCCAAGGAAGGAGATATTGGATCCAATTCCTTGGATGAAGAGGCCCTCACCAACATCAAGAAACCTCCATTGAGAGGATTAAGTGGTTTAAAAAAACTATCAAATCATGTCAGCTGGCTTCTAAAACTACCTGTGACCCAACAAGCCAGGAATTATTAGTATTGTATGATAAACACACTAGATATTTTGATATTAAGCAAGAGCATCAATATTACATGCCATAAATCACAACGAGAAAGACAGCTACCATGGGAAATTTTGATGCTACTCACTAAATTTCCATATCATTACACACACACTTACACACCACACTACACTTACACACACACACTTACACACTTACACACACACACAACACACGAAAAAAGGGGAGGGGGACAAAACACTTGAATTTTCCCCTCCGACCTAAAGGAGAAGCATGTTCATGGAAACAGCTCATGCCCTCCCCAACACCCACAGCCTGGCTGATCAGGCCATGGCCCACGTGAGGCCTGGTTATAGACTGGGCCGCAGGGGCACTGATCTCCGGAACACCCTTCAGGTATACACCTACCATTACCTACCTCACATGCACTGTAATCAAATGATCTTGGACATTTTCAGCTACTTTATCAATGTTAAGCATAACACCCAAAAAGATGCCAGTGGTGCTACAGGTATCATGAAAAAGTGTGAATCTATGATGGTTATTTATTTATTATTATCACACTGGCCGATTCCCACCAAGGTAGGGTGGCCCGAAAAAGAAAAACTTTCACCATCATTCACTCCATCACTGTCTTGCCAGAAGGGTGCTTTACACTACAGTTTTTAAACTGCAACATTAACACCCCTCCTTCAGAGTGCAGGCACTGTACTTCCCATCTCCAGGACTCAAGTCCAGCCTGCCGGTTTCCCTGAACCCCTTCATAAATGTTACTTTGCTCACACTCCAACAGCACGTCAAGTATTAAAAACCATTTGTCTCCATTCCTCCTATCAAACACGCTCACGCATGCCTGCTGGAAGTCCAAGCCCCTCGCACGCAAAACCTCCTTTACCCCCTCCCTCCAACCTTTCTAGGCCAACCCCTATCCCGCCTTCCTTCCACTACAGACTGATACACTCTTGAAGTCACTCTGTTTCGCTCCATTCTCTCTACATGTCAAACCACCTCAACAACCCTTCTCAGCCCTCTAAAACTGGATAACTCTGAAGTACCTGTTGATTTCCGGTCGCACTCAACGCCCCTCGGCCCGTCTGTGACACGTTTTGGTAATCCCGCACCTCCTCCTAACTTCGAAACTACGAATTCTCTGCATTATATTCACACCACACATTCCCTCAGACATGACATCTCCACTGCCTCCAGCCTTCTCCTCGCTGCAACATTCATCACCCATGCTTCACACCCATATAAGAGCGTTGGTAAAACTATACTCTCATACATTCCCCTCTTTGCCTCCAAGGACAAAGTTCTTTGTCTCCACAGACTCCTAAGTGCACCACTCACCCTTTTCCCCTCATCAATTCTATGATTCACCTCATCTTTCATAGACCCATCCGCTGACACGTCCACTCCCAAATATCTGAATACATTCACCTCCTCCATACTCTCTCCCTCCAATCTGATATCCAATCTTTCATCACCTAATCTTTTTGTTATCCTCATAACCTTACTCTTTCCTGTATTCACTTTTAATTTTCTTCTTTTGCACACCCTACCAAATTCATCCACCAATCTCTGCAACTTCTCTTCAGAATCTCCCAAGAGCACAGTGTCATCAGCAAAGAGCAACTGTGACAACTCCCACTTTGATGTGTGATTCTTTATCTTTTAACTCCACGCCTCTTGCCAAGACCCTCGCATTTACTTCTCTTACAACCCCATCTATAAATATATTAAACAACCATGGTGACATCACACATCCTTGTCTAAGGCCTACTTTTACTGGGAAATAATTTCCCTCTTTCCTACATACTCTAACTTGAGCCTCACTATCCTCGTAAAAACTCTTCACTACTTTCAATAACCTACCTCCTACACCATACACCTGCAACATCTGCCACATTGCCCCCCTATCCACCCTGTCATATGCCTTTTCCAAATCCATAAATGCCACAAAGACCTCTTTAACCTTATCTAAATACTGTTCACTTATATGTTTCACTGTAAACACCTGGTCCACACACCCCCTACCTTTCCTAAAGCCTCCTTGTTCATCTGCTATCCTATTCTCCGTCTTACTTTTAATTCTTTCAATAATAACTCTACCATACACTTTACCAGGTATACTCAACAGACTTATCCCCCTATAATTTTTGCACTCTCTTTTGTCCCCTTTGCCTTTATACAAAGGAACTATGCACGCTCTCTGCCAATCCCTAGGTACCTTACCCTTCCATACATTTATTAAATAATTGCACCAACCACTCCAAAACTATATCCCCACCTGCTTTTAACATTTCTATCTTTATCCCATCAATCCCGGCTGCCTTACCCCCTTTCATTCTATCTACTGCCTCACGAACTTCCCCCACACTCACAACTGGCTCTTCTTCACTCCTACAAGATGTTATTCCTCCTTGCCCTTTACACAAAATCACAGCTTCCCTATCTTCATCAACATTTAACAATTCCTCAAAATATTCCCTCCATCTTCCCAATACCTCTAACTCTCCATTTAATAACTCTCCTCCCCTATTTTTAACTGACAAATCCATTTGTTCTCTAGGCTTCCTTAACTTGTTAATCTCATTCCAAAACTTTTTCTTATTTTCAACAAAATTTGTTGATAACATCTCACCCACTCTCTCATTTGCTCTCTTTTTACATTGCTTCACCACTCTATGATGGTATTAGAGTAAAAATTTCATACAGCAAATCCCCTATAAGTCAAATTCTCATAACCTCCATTTTCACTATTCTGTGATTTAAATTTTTGTTTCTAAAAGAGGCAAGCAATTTCCATTCTGTGCCGAGTGTAATTAATTTCCATTGGTGGTATGCACTTCCATTATGAAGTGCCAAAGTAGAAAGGCAGGAGAACCCCCATTACACACTGGGCAAGTGCACTGTTTTAGTGGTATAGGGAAGGGTGAGGTGATGTAAACAAACAACCTTACACATACATTAGTGTATCTGGATAAGTTTTTTTTTTTTTCCAACAAGCCGGCCGTCTCCCACCGAGGCAGGGTGACCCAAAGAGAAAGAAAATCCCCAAAAAGAAAATACTTTCAACATCATTCAACACTTTCACCTCACTCACACATAATCACTGTTTTTGCAGAGGTGCCCAGAATACAACAGTTTAGAAGTATATACGTATAAAAATACACAATATCTCTCTCCAAACTGCTAATATCCGAAACCCCTCCTTTAGAGTGCAGGCATTGTACTTCCCATTTCCAGGACTCAAGTCCGGTTATATAACATAACCAGTTTCCCTGAATCCCTTCACTAAATATTACCCTGCTCACACTCCAACAGATCGTCAGGTCCCAAATACCATTTGTCTCCATTTGCCTTACACACACATTAGTGTATCTGGCTAAGTACTATATTATATTCACTCAGTGCTGATCACTTAATTTTTCCTTTTCATCATCCCATTTGGATATTTATTATGACATCTAAACAAAGTGCAAGTGACACTAGTGAAACAAGATAATTAAGTGAGGAAACCATGACAATTTGAAAACATTGTAGATAATCGAGATGCTGAAAGTTTTCACAAGCGTCATGGAGACAGCAAGTGTATTTGGTATCAAGAAACCAATAATTCAAGATAAAGAGGTGAAGACAGAAGGTTGTGCAATGAGTAGTTCTCAATGTGACACTGTAAAAGAATGAGAAATAGATCAATATAGCTAATATAAAACAATATTCACTAAATGTGTGCATTGAAAAAAAAAAAGGTGTTCTACATAATGGCCTTATTATCCAAGGTTATAGTACTATAGTATAAAACTGTCAAAGGTGCCATTTTAAACCATAGTCCAGTTTTGTTTTCCCACCATATACCATAGGACAATTTTTTATTCTGTGCACACTCACCACACAGACCCATTCTCTCATATCTAGGCCAAAATTCACCACTCAAAGCTTATCTGAGCAAGCTCAGCTCATGACAATAGAACTGTTAGGAGCCCTGGCCTCAATGACAAAGTTCTACATGACAGTGAAAGGGTTGTCAAAGATATATTCTTGTCACTGCCTGTAACTGTGTTGTGTAATGCCTTTTGGATAATTCTCTTAATAGTACGTATAGACAAACCCCAATCATGACACTGTTGTGTGGCAGCTCTGGTGTCACTCTCCAGAGCCATTGAGAGCTGCTGGTGTAGCAGTCATGTCTTTGTACATAATATGCCCATGAAGCACTTAGTGCAGTACACTCTTATAATAAATAATTTAATATATTCTTAATATGCCCATAACAATATTTATACATGCGGCATATTCTTATTTTGAAGAACACACACAATTATAACTAATGCATGAATAATTATTGTCAATTCCTCCATCCTTACACATCTACATTTACTCATACACTGAAATTCTAATATTCAGTATATAATAATATACCAGTTAAATACATATACTTCTTTATAACTGAACTCTTACATTTAGTCACATGACTGCCATTGTTTCTAATTATTATAATGAATAATTAACTTTGTGGTGGATCACTATCTTTTATCATATACCTGTATTAATTTACTATTGTATAGAATCAGATACTTAATAATCTTAACTTCTTGAGGGCTCCAGACCCTTGATCCAAAAAATTTCCACAGGGTTCAAGAATTAAAAAAAAATAAAAATTCTTTTTTTTTTATGAAATGGTAGAGAATCTTTTTCTGCAGATAATAAAACAAAAAGTACAAAAAAATAATGGAAAAATTGACGAAATTATGTTGTCGTGAATTTTGCTCTGTCAGCAATATTTGTGCATCAGTGATTTTGCCTACTCGATTCCTTTTTAGGCCAATTACACTGTTCCAGTCGACCAAATTCTTAGCTATTTCGCTAGTATGCCTTCCATTTTATAGACTGAGCACAAGAAACTGACCAATCAACTATTTCAGCTACCTAATAAAGTGATCAGAAATTGATAATTTGGCCTATTTCACTCAAATTTCAAAATATTACAATTTCAAAATAGGGATCAGAATAAACAATCCAGGCATACAGGCACTAAAATAACATTACCTCTGTTTATTAGTTACGCTCCAAGGCTTTACACATGAATTTCATTTTGAGTTTTCATTCGCACAAAAAAATAGGTTTACTGTTATGAAATACTGTAATTATTATCTAAATAATATCAGTGCCTTCATGAATGCACATTAGACTCGCCAACTGGTGTGTATTGGACACGTCAACTCGTGGGTCTAATATGCCTTCACGAAGTGATTTGTTTACTCTTGAACATCAGCAAAAATTGAACATTCCCCTACTTTGAGCTCAATTTTGAGCTTTTCTCGATATCTGTAATATATCTTCCATTCTATCAAACGAAACCAAGAAACCATGAATACAACCATAAAAACCCATACAAAAATACACAGCAAACTCACCGTTTTAAACCAAAAATATGATCGCAGTGCTTTTTCTACATATTGCGTGCTGCAGGATTTTTTTATATAGTGGATACTTACCACTTAGACCCATTCTCTCATATCTAGGTCTCAAAGCTACTGTTCACAGCTTATGAGTGAGCTGAGCCCATCACTTTTTTCTAAGGCACGGACACTTGCTTCAACCATAGAACAAAGGCATGGACCCTCAAGTGGTTAAACTTATAGATAACTTACCTATGGTTTTGATAGTCTGTACCGTAATCATATGTAACTAACTTGCATTAAGTAATCACTAAACAAATGCTTTTTTATAAATTATTTAGTGTAACTGGTTCCTCAAACTGTTCCATTATTATATTTAATTTATTAAATTTAAATATTAGCTAAATTTATCCTAGTCATTCATTTCCTTATACAGTGGACCCTCGACATTCGATACTAATCCGTTCCTGAGAGCTATCGAATGTCAAAAATATTGAAAGTCGAATTAATTTTCCCCATAAGAAATAATGGAAATCAAATTAATCCGTGCAAGACACGCAAAAGTATGAAAAAATTTACCACATGAAATATTAAGTTTAATGCAATAGAATAATTACAATAACAACAATAACAAGAGATTAATAACAATAGAATAATTGACACTTACCTTTAATAAAGATCTGGTGATGATTGATGGGATGGGAGGAGGGGAGTGTGTGGATGTTGTTAATGTTTAGAAGGGGAATCCCCTTCCATTAGGACTTGAACTGGCAGCCTCACCATGCCTTACCACACTGTGTATGCCACTATGATTCTTATATCTTTCAAACCAACCTTTGCTGGCCTTAAATTCACTTACATCACCACTGGTTGCAGGCAATTTCTTTACCAAATCATCATGCACTCCGACACACGCACTCCACTTTCATACTTTCAATTATCTCTTTCTTCATTTCAATAGTCATCAGCACCTTTTTTCTCGAAGGGTTGGCACTAGAAGTTTTCTTGGGGCCCATGGTTACTTATTTTGCAGAAACAAGCACCAAAAGCAGTGATAATATGGATAATATAGAATGTACCGAATGTATCCTTAGATGCACGCACACTGGCTGGCTTGTAAACACTGGCACACACGGTGCAGTTCAGGCCACACGTGGACACGTCTCGTACGAATCGTATCGAATGTCGGGTTTTCCATCGAATACCGAGGCGAAATTTTTGCGTTAAAATGCATCGAAAGTCGGATTTATCGAATGTCGATGCCATCAAATGTCGGGGGTCCACTGTACTAATCTTTGAATGCTATAATTTGGATTGAACTCTTATTCCTGCAAACTCACAGCAGGCCCTTGATTAACAGTCATTTTAAAGTTGATGAAAATAAATGGCAGTTTATCCCTGACTAACAGACAATGTAAGGATGGTATCATAACAGATATAATTAAAAAAAAAAAAACTCCATTATACATTTAAATATGACAAGTCTAGTCAACATAAAAACGTGTCCTTTCACTTACCTTCTTACGTTTACCATAGCGAACAGTGCCTGGTTTGATAGTTTTTGGTTTGGGGGTCTTCTTTACCTTTACCTCCACTCCTTTTTTCTACAAAGAAAAAAATTATTTAAATAAAACTGCCAAATTAGAGTATAGTAGCACTTTTCTTTCAATACCTTAACACAAAGCTACTCCTTAAAGAATGTTTGATATTCTTGTCTCCTAATACACTCAAATCACAGGAGCCACTACAATCAATTATACATTTACTGTTGTTGATAAAGTCTAGACAATCATTACAGCACTTCAGGTACAATTACAGACAAGATAACTGACCACTAAATGTGCTACAAAACTCACAGAAAGCAATAAAGTCGATTTCATTTAACCCTTTCACTGTTGGTGACATATATCAATGGCTTACAAGCCATTGTCGGTGACGTGTTAGTATGCCAAAATTCTAGCAGCTTCAAATCTAGCGGGAGAAAGCTGGTAAACCTACATGTGAGAGAATGGGTCTGCATGGTTAGTGTGAGGTATTCAAGTTTATTCTCTATAAGGGTTACAATGTGGGGTTTACAGGTTTTGGGTATTGTGTGGTTTACATGTTATAAAATACAGTACTAATTACAGAGGGGGCCACTAGGACACCTAGCATGGTGTTTTTGGAGTGTGTGTTTTTGGATTAAAACGCCGACTTTGAAGTGTGTTTTCATGTGGTATTTATGGTTGTATTCTAGTTTTCTTGGTCTCATTTGATAGAATGGAAGATATATTACAGAAATAAAGATGATTTTGATTGGTTTCATGATGAAAAGTACCTTGAAATTGAGCTCAAGATAGCGGAAATGTTAGATTTTTGCCCATGTTCAACAGTAAACAAATGACATCACTGTCCAATACGTGTCCAACTGGCCAGTCTAATATGCAGTCATGAATGGGTTGACATTATTTCTACAATTACAGTGGACCCCCGAGTTTCATGAGCCTCGCGCTTCGTGAATTTTGACTTTCACAAACTTTTTTTTTTTTTGTCAAAATAAAGCCTCGTGGTTCATGATTTTCCTCCCAATTTGTTCATCGCATGTAACGCGTCCGTGCAGCCAGGAGCAGCTGGGCGTACACAAAGGCTTCCACACAACATTCAGGAGTCAGTGTGGCATTGTTTGAAGAAAAATACAAAAGAGGTGATGGTAGAGGGTGGTAGTGATGGTGGTATATAGGATGGTAGTGATGGTGGTATAGGGTGGTAGTGATGGTGGTATAGGGTGGTAGTGATGGTGGTAGAGGGTGGTAGTGATGGTGGTAGAGGGTGGTAGTGGTAGAGGGTGGTAGTGGTAGAGGGGTAGTGGTAGAGGGTGGTAGTGGTAGAGGGTGGTAGTGGTAGAGGGTGGTAGTGGTAGAGGGTGGTAGTGGTAGAGGGTGGTAGTGGTAGAGGGTGGTAGTGGTAGAGGGTGGTAGTGGTAGAGGGTGGTAGTAGGTGTAGTAGAGTGTGGGTGTAGTAGTGTGTAGTATGGTAGATCTGCAAGAGCTCTCTGGACAGTTTTTTTGTGGGACAGGGGTCCAGTGACTTATCCATCCTCTCCTGTCCTTCCGTCTGCCATACACCAACAAGAGTCTTCAATAAAGGTAAGTGTGATGTTATTGTTTTATACTTGATTTCTCCTTCTTTTCTGTATGTAAATCTATATTTAATCTATAAAAAAATTCATGTTTGTTAATACTTTTGGGTGTCTGGAATGGATTAATTGGATTTACATTATTTCTTATGGGCAAAATGGTTTCGACATTCATGAATTCCAACTTTCAGCAGACACTCTGGAACGGATTAATCACGAAGCTCGGGGGTCCACTGTATTACAATAATGCAGTAGTCTGCATAACAGTAAATATTATATTTTTTGTATACCTGGAGAGAGTTCCGGGGGTCAACGCCCCCGCGGCCCGGTCTGTGACCAGGCCTCCTGGTGGATCAGAGCCTGATCAACCAGGCTGTTACTGCTGGCTGCACACAAACCAACGTACGAGCCACAGCCCAGCTGGTCATAAAGCAAGTCAAAATTTGATAAACTTGTATCAATTATTTTTGCCACAGTGAGAACCGAGATGACTTTGTTTTAACAATGACCATCTCCCATTGGGGTAGGGCAAGCTGACACAGAAAACTGTCTTGCCAGAAGAGTGCTGACATCACAATTCAGACAAACCTCCAGAGTGCAGGCACTGTACTTCCCACCTCCAGGACTCAAGTCCAGCTAACTGGTTTCCCATGAATCCCTTCATAAATGTTACCTTGCTCACACTCCAACAGCATTTCAAATCATAAAACCCACTTACCTACACTAGTACCTAATACACTCACACAAGCCTATTGGATGTTCAAGCCCGTAGCACCCATAATCTCCTTTACACCTTCCCTCCAACCTTTCCTAGGACAACCCCTACCCCTCTTTTCCTCCACCCCAGATTTATCATAATCTCCAAACTCTGAATTCTCTGCAAAATATTCACAGTACACATTGCCCTCAAACATGACATCTCCACTGCCTCCAGCCTTCTCTTCACTGCAACATTGTATGAATAAAAATTCAAAATGGAAAGCAAAAGTAATATAAGAGGGGCCTGGAGATGTGACTAATAAACAGAGAAAATGTTATTTTAGTGCTAGGAATGTTTGCACTGTTTACTCTGGACCCTATATTGAAATTGATATCTTTTGAAATTTGTGTGAAATTGGCCAAATTGCCAAATTTTGATCACTTTATTGGGTAGTTGAAATTGGTACATTGGCAGTTTCTCGTACTCAGTCAATAGAACAAATGGAGTCGTAGCGAAATGGCCAAGTTTGGTCGACGGGAACAACGGAATTAGCCAAAAACAGGGCTCAAAGTGGCCAAAATCGTCGATGCATACATATCGCTGAGACAGCTAACTTCATGAAAGCATAAATCTAAGTTTTCCATCAAATTTCAAACTTTTGAGTCATTACCATTAGGAAAAGATTCTCTATCATTTCATAAGAAATTTTTTTTTTTTAATTCTTAACACTGAGAGCAAATTTGTGAACAGGGGTCTCAACAGTGAATGAGTTAACAGAACTCATTCCTAAGACAGCCAGAAAGTACTACTTTTTGCATTCTGGAAAAGTATTAAATTAGGGGGGAATGTGATGGAGGTGTTCAAATGGAAGACTGGAATAAGTAGATAATAGGGATACTGCATACACAGTATTCTGATTAAGACAGCACTAACTCCTTCTTTGTTGGAAGCCACAAAATAAAAAATGCTGCCAGTTGGCATTAACCCTTAAACTGTCCAAACGTTGATCTACATTTGCGCGCATAGCGCTCCAACCTTGATTTTCTCCATAAGAAACAATGTAAAAAAAAACGTAGATCTACATTCGGAGTGCTACGCGAGCAAATGTAGATCTACGTTTGGACAGTTTAAGGGTTAAAAAAAAAATGAAATGGCAGAGAATCTTTTCCGGGGATTACATTTATGAAGGGATTCAGGGAAACCGGCAGGCCGGACTTGAGTCCTGGAGATGGGAAGTACAGTGCCTGCACTCTGAAGGAGGGGTGTTAATGTTGCAGTTTAAAAACTGTAGTGTAAAACACCCTTCTGGCAAGACAGTGATGGAGTGAATGATGGTGAAAGTTTTTCTTTTTCGGGCCACCCTGCCTTGGTGGGAATCGGCCAGTGTGATAATAAAAAAAAAAAAAAAAATACACGAAAAATACTTAAAATGGTGGAAAACTTATGGATTTAGGCAAGCGCAATGTTAGCTGCCTGGGTGCAATTTATATATCTGCAATTTCACAAAATTTGAGTCCTATTTAACCCTTTCACTGTCAAGACCCCTGAACACAAACCTGCTCTCAGTGTCGAAAAATATTTTGGAAAAAAAAAAAAAAACTTACCAAAATCTTTAAAATATTTTTCCGATTGTTTTAAAAGAAAATTTTTTTTTTGCCATCAATACTTACCGAGATATGTAGGAATGAAGTTGACAAAGTGAACCACTTATGGCAACATCGGCAACTGCTGCTCACTTGATAATATTTTTACTATTCTATTTTTTTTCTTTTCTAATATTTTATTTTTTCAAGTAACTTTTGTGGCCTGTGAGACCAATATAATGCCTTACGTATATACTATAGTGGTACCTCGGGATACGAACTTAATTCGTTCCAGAAGGCTGTTTGAGTGCCAATACCGAACAAATTTGTTCCCATAAGGAATAATGTAAATTAGATTAATCTGTTTCAGACACCAAAAAAATACATTTACATAAATACACTTACATAACTTTTCAAGTTTTGAACTGTTCATATCCCGAGGTACCACTGTATATCCACTTATTGTATGCAACACAATAACCGCACAAACATTATCATTATATTGTTTACAAAACTTGTTTACACAAACCCACACTGCCTTCCCACCCACACCGTCTTCCCCACCACCCACACTGCCTTCCCCACACCCACACAGTCTTCCCCATCACCCACGCTGGAAATAAGTCATTGACTTTTTTGGGTTATCCTAGGTTCTCTACACATGCTGCTATGTATGATAATCTACATAACTGTATTTGTTTATACCCGAATAAACTTACACGCTGTCTTCCCAATCACCCATGCTGTCTTCCCCACCCACACCATCATCCCCACCATCCATGCTGTCATCCCCACCACTCAAGCAGTCTTCCCCACACCCACATTGCCTTCCCCACACCCACGCTGCCTTCCCCACACCCACACTGCCTTCCCCACACCCACGCTGTCTTCCCACCACCCATGCTGGAAAGAAGTCACTGACTTTGTTTTCAGGGTTATCCTAGGTTCTCTACAAATACTGCTGTGTATGATAATCTATGAAACTATTTGTGTATACAGTAGGGCCCCGCTTTACGGCGTTTCACTTTACAGCGTTCCGCTAATACGGTCATTTCAAATTATGACCAAAACTCGCTATACGGCTCCCCCCACCTGACTTTCTAATACGGTCACCGCGCCCCACCCGGTTTGTTTACATTCTGTGAGATCCGTAAGCACTAAGTCTCTCCATTATGTCTGGAAACTCCATTATGTCTGGAAACTCCA